GCGGGCCCCTCCCCCGGGGGGAGCCGGTCCATCGTGTCCCTGGGGGGCACACGTCCCGCCCAGCCCAGTCACCCCGAGGACTGTCCGTCTGTCCAGTGCGCACCTGGTTTTGTCAGGCACGTGGGCGCTCGGACCGACCGGCCGCACAAGAAGCCAGGGGCAGGCGACTGTCGGGTAATGAAGATGCGAAGTGTTTCCAGCCCAGGATTCTCCCCGATGTGGTTCCCGACGTGGACAGAGGGGGCACGGAGGCTGAGCTGCTTTCTCCTGTCCTGGGCCCCGCTTTGCCCGCGGGGCTGAGGGAACCGTGCCAACATGTACGAAGGGGAACAGGCGTGGAAGGGGCTTTGTGGAGCGCCCCCTCTCTCAGCCCTCCCCCCCGTGGGGCCCCGCCCGGCGCTCTCCACCGCCCCTACCTGGGGCGAGGACCGCGGAGCAGACACTGGTTGAATCCGTCACAGGAGCCCTTGGGACAAGCCGCTGCTTCCAGTTTTCTTGGATCTGCACCCCCGCCCCCCGCCCCGGACTGGCCTCGAGGGTGGAGGTCTGGGGGAGAGGCCCGTGACCCCAGATCCGTGTTGTCCCGAGGAAGCGGGTCTCTGCTGGCCCCGCCAGGCGGTGGCAGCCCCGTTGGTGTTGGGAGGACCCAGGCTGTTCACCATTTCTGTGCGGAACACCCCGCTGTGGGGCGTCTGCAGGAGCAGCCAGCAGCTGGCACCTTGTACTTGGCCACATCCCCACGCGGGCCCTGGGGCACCTCTGCAGCCGTGGCAACACCTGGACCCACAGAGCAGCCACCAGCACCTGAACGGCCACCGAGCCCCCTGCACTGGACGAGGCCGCGACAGCCCCCGGGCCCGGCGTAGGGAGGACTGGATGGGCCCTCTGCTCTGTGGTCACGGCGGCCGACGTGAGAAGGGGAGCCGGGTGTCCAGCCCAGGAACAGGTCGGGGAAGCAGCCGAGTGACGGTCAGCTGTGGCCGCCGGGATCGACTGGCCGCTGCCTCCCGCCACTGGGCCGGAGGTTCCCGCCCCGCCTCTGGGACAGGCAGGACCCCGGGGACTCTGAGGTGAGTGAGCACTTGGCGCAGACTGGGAAGCGGAAACCTGCTCTCTAGCTTCTCTCTTTTTTTAAATTAAATGTCGGGGTGACTGGCCTTTGTTCATAGGACAAGGTTAATAATGTGGTCGTGTGGGTGGACGGGCTAACCCGCCGTCCGACATGGATGAGGAAACATGGGGTTTATTTAAGGGGAGGGGCTGGGGGAGGAGATGTGCGGAGGGAAGGGCTGCAAGCACCGAGCGGGGACGCGGGGCTACGTCGGCAGCCCCGGGAGCTGGCGTGCCTCCTCACGTGCCGTCACCGCGGGGCGGGGCCTGAGCGGGTGGCCCGGAGTGCGTCCGGAACGCAGGTAAGTGATCAGCGTTTTAGGGGTTTCCACTCCTTTATGACCCTGGGGTCCAGACAGACTTCCCGGTCCTGGCCCTCCTGTGGCCGAGCAGCTCACACGTGGCCGAGAGGGTGACCACAGGGGGTTCAGGGAGGGTTTCCAGGCTACGAGGCCCGTCTATGGCCCGTGTGCCCAGCACCCAAAGTCACATCTTCCCGTCACCGTATATTAGGACCCCTCCCCCTTGCCTCTGGCAGCCACCGCACTGCGGTCTGTGTCCCTGATTTTCAGTTTTATGTCCACAAAGGCGTGAGATCGTACGGGGCATAGCGTTGTCTGTCGGATGTATCTCAGCATGTTCTCGGGTCCAGCCATGTTGTTGCAAATGGCGCTGAGTGTCCTGTCGTGCACGTGTGCTGGTCCCCTAACGCCGACACTGGCGGTGTCCACGCGTCGACCGTGGATGCTGCTTTCTGACGGGCTGTTGGGCGTGGAGCCGGACACTACTCCTGTATTCCGCAAAGTAACCTTTGTCGGAGCTGCTGTTCGCAGATATCCCTCCCACCCGGCTTCGTCAGCCCCTTTGCTGCAGGAGCTTTTCAGTTTGATGTGGTCGCTCATTCATTTCTGCCTTCGCTTCCTGGCCTTTGGGTCAAGTTCGTAAGATGCCCCCTGTGCTCCGGGTCCCTGTTTTCTTCTGTGTAACTGGTTTCGGGTCTGACAGGTCGGTCTTTGACCCCTTTTGAATTAACGTTTGTGCGTGGGGACAAACTGTGACCCCGTTTCATTTGTTTGCATGTGGTTTTTTTCGGCTGAGGGCTTCGCAAGTCCCCCAGCCAAGTTCCTGTGCAGGCAGTTAGGTGAGGGCTTTCCAAGGGGCCCCCCAACATCTCCAGCGCAGCCCCCGACCTGGTCTCTGGAGGGGGTTTTACTTTACAGCGTCTCTGGGGTCGCAGGGCCCCTGGGCCAGGCCCTGGGGGTGCTGTCTGCTGTTGAGACCTGGGAGTGAGGCCGGCCCCCCTCCCCCGCACCAGGGCAGAGCTCGGGCTCCTGTGTGTATGTCTGGACGTGTGTGTATGTGTGTGTACGTGTGTATATGTATGTGTACACCGGGGGCTCCAGGCTGGACGTGCTCTTGAATTTAGATTTTCTATGTATCATTTGCTGCCCCCCATCCCCCGACTGTTGGCCGTGGGTTTCCTCCCCGGGTGCTGTTCAGCCCGTCCTGAGCTCCACGGGGAGGCGTCCCTTCCCTCCAGCTCCTCCTGTGGGCTCCTCCTTGTCCCCCGAGGGTGCGGGCCTCCCCAGCAGCCCCCCCTCGCAGCGGGTGGGTCCCATCGTCCAAGGTCCCCAGGCTGACAGGCTGGGCCTCCCCACGCCAGGTGACACCGGACGGTGGCCCCGGAGAGAGGAGCCTGGCAGAGCCGCGCGCGGGACAGGCTGCAGGGACCCCAGGTGAGGAGACGCTGAGGGGGGTCCAGCTCGGTTCTGCACACATGCACACGCACGCACACGCACCTCTCCCGGGGGGACCCCAGGTGGCCTCTCTCAGTCGGCAGCCTGTCTCCCTACTGGGAAGGGGGTGAGCCGGGTGACCTGTCACCGTCGCTGACAATGCTGGGCCCCTGGCCGACCTGGGCGGGGAGAGACCAGGAGGGACGCGAGCGGCTGCGGTACGTGCAGAGGTGAGTGTGAGTCCGGCGCCTCCGTTAACAAACCAGCCACACACGGTGAGGACGACGTCGGGTTTATTAGGGGTCAGCGAGGCTTCCTACGTGGCGCATGCAGCACACGGCACGCCGTGCCGACGGGAATCCGAGCGTGGTTGTTAGCGGGTAAGGCTTCTTATCACAGTGTATCTCCCGGACACGCGCCGTCGGCCAGCACTGACCTCGGGGCGGGGCCAGGGTGGGGTCACCTTCACCCGCCGGGGCTGCTCCCGGGAGGTGCCTGGCCCCAGGAGGCGCAGGGGGTGAGGTTTCTGTGTTTGGGAAGCACGTGTGTGTCGACAGGGATTGTAAAGAGGGGCGATGCCCAGGCTGCCCGCCTTGTCCCCGGGAGGAGCCCACGTGGACAGGTGAGGACGGGCAGCAGGTGGGTCACCTGGAAACCCTGGGGTCTGAGGAGGGGCCTGTGGCGTTAAGTCAGCCCCGTGGGGTTTCTAAGGATGGAGCTGGATGTGGTGGCCTCGTCCTTTCTTTAACTCGGCGACGGCTCCTCCTCAGAGTTCAAGACAATCGTGTCTCCCCAACATCACTTACACGGATGTCCTGAGAGTGGGGGCCTCCCAGGACCCCTTCCCTGCCGCCCCAGGAGCTCGCTGTCTCCGGGGACGCACTGGGGCTCGGAGGACAGACTGCACAGCACAGGTAGACACACCTCGTGCACCGCGACGAGAACAGCTAGATGCGCACACACCGACTGCCCTGCGGACTGCCCCTGCTCTCCTTGGAGGAAGACAGACCCTCGTCAGGGCAGCGTGGGGTCCGGCCTCGGCTCCTAGATGTACAGCGGGGTCTCCTGGCCCGTGAGGAGCCGGAACATGGCGGCGGGCATGGTCTTCATATGGATCTGCCGACGAGAGCGGGGCTGAGGCCTCCCTCCTCCCTCCCGCTGCCAGCGGACGTGCCCACCCCCCCAGGTCTGGTGCTGCCCCTCCCGCGCAGGGACTCGCCTGGGGCCGCGGGTCTCACCTCCCCGACCGAGTTGGACAGAGCCTGCACGATCTTCTCGTGGGCCGTGGCCACCATGAGCAGACAGCGTCGTCAGCACACGGTCCCCCCACACCGCCCGGCGCTCCTGCCCCCAAGACGGGAAAGGACTCCACCTGCAGGCACTGCCCAGTGGCTACCGTCTCTCTAAGGTTTTTGTCTTTTTAGGGGTCCTCACACCTAAGGGCAGGGAACCTCAGAAGGGACTCCCGCCTGTCACAGCCGCTTCTCCAACCCCAGCTGGAGTTTGGGGGGCAGGCTGCCCCTCTCAGAGGGAGGCGGCATCTCCCCGCTGGAGACTTTGTCCCCTGGTGGGTGGTGGTGTGGGAAGGGAGGAGGGACCCTTTTAGAGAAAGCCACAACTGGGTCACCCAGGGCCTGTCTGCCAACGACGCCTGTGCTGTGGGTGTAATGAAGCTGAAAATGGAAAAGGCACTTGAGCAAGACTAACGCCGATGTCGGCAAACTCTTCCAGGGAAGCTGGCTGCGTGGCACACCGAGTCAGTGGGCACGGCGTCCCAGCGAGGAGAGCCCGCCGGCCATCAGGGCCTCGCGTGCACGTCCGTGGCCTGGTTACTGACGCCGTGGGCCCAGCAACAGACCGACCCCTGACGGCCCACAATGCCGCCACTTCAGCTGGAGCCTGGGGAGAGTGACCTCGCCCCTGAGAAGGGGACCCGCCGCGGGGAGTCCTCTCTGCCTCTCTAGAAGGTTCCCCTGACCAAGGACACACGCACACGGCCCCACGCAGGCAGAGACAGGAGCCTGACAGACGGGCCCGGAGTTGGGGGCAGACCAGCTCCCTCCGGGCAGCTTGCTGTGGGTGGAAGTGAGTCTGACGCTGCGGGGCCGCAGGGCCCTGCCTCCCCCCGGCCTGGCTGTGTCCCTGGCGGACCTGCGCCCAGACCCTAGCGTGTCCCGGGGAGCGGACTCACGATCCCGTTCTGCACGCTGAAGCCCAGCTGGTACTTGAGGTCCGGCCGCTTGATGAGGACCGTGGTGACGGGCGGGCAGCTGACGATGTTGAGCTTCACTTGCGTCTGGTTCTTCAGACCCTGCGGAGCGGGGGCCGGAGTCAGGTGAGCACGCCGAGCAGGAGCCCGCGTCCCTCTGTGAGGGGCGAAGGCGTCACCCAGCCTGACCCGTCTGCAGGGAACCCAGGTGCAGGGTGGGCTGTGGCCCCGTGCCCTGAGCTGCTCTCTG